GACCTGAAAGATCCCCCTATGCATATTGCCTGTTTGAGCTGCTCTTGCCAATTTGCCAAGGTCAAGTTATGGGAAAGTACAGGAGGGAACCAGGTGTTGCTCTCGTCTGACGCCAACCAGATATCTGTGGTCTGCAGCTTGGACCAAAGCAAGGTCAGCAGGACGATATCCGGGAACAGAAGGTCCCGGGAACATTCTATCAAGACCACCAGAATGCTGAGATAGTCATAACTGAATTCTTTGTATTCTTTGTGCCCAACCTGAATAAACAACTCTGTCCTTGGTTAACCACAATCGCTTTATTTAGATGGAACAATGAAATCCCTGTAACCATGCATCTGTTTCTGTAAGCCCGCTTTTTGCTGCCCAAACCCTATATAATCTCCTGAAATTCTAGCCTGCGTGCGCTCAGTCTCTCTAAAGACTGAAGCATCCACAGGTACCTGTGTGAGCAATAAATAGCCTCTTGCGCTTGCATCCAGTGGTCTCTGTCTCGTCTCTCTGGGCAGGGGGTCCTCTTGGATGACCCAAGATCACCGGGGTCTTTCAGGAAGAAGAGCGGGGAGGGCGAGACCTGCAAGAGCCAGGTTTGCCGTATCCGGCCTGTGGGATCCCTTCACTTTCTGCCAAGGGTTTGCCAGACTGAGATGGTTCACTCAACACACAGGAAGAGGAGACAGCTCCCTCCTCCCCTGCGCCTCCAGGACACACCGCCTCTTCCGGATAAAACGCTCTTATGGTCAGACAGAGGGCGGGGCACGGACGAAGGAACGCAGGCAGCCCAGCACCTTGCCAAAGCCAGGACCCTGAGCGGAGCGGAGCTGAGCTGAGCTACCAAGGCTGCCAGGACGGATCTGGGCAGAGAGCATCCGAGATGTCATTCCTCCGCCGTTCCTAGAGCGTCCCCAGGAGGTCCGCTTCCGCCGTCCTAGAGAGGCCACGGCCAAGTGGCCCCAGCAGTGCACCCAGCCGGCGCCGCCGCCGCCGTCCCGGGAGTAACGTGAGGGTTCCGGCGTCCGTTGGTAAGCCGGGAGAGCGGGTGCACCAGCGGGGGGTGGCGGGGCACGGTTTGCGGTGTCCTGACCCCGAGGCGATGCCACGGCCGTCGGGCCGTTCGGAGCGGTGCCGCCCAGCCGCCTCGGAGTCCCCGAGACCCCGAAAGTCCGGTGTCCGCCATGATGATTCTTGGCGTCCCGACTTCTTGACAGAAACTCAGCACGGTTAATCGTGCGGGTTGGTTAAAAAACAAAACAAGATAATAATAATAATAATAACATAAAACCCCCACCACCCCTCGTTCTACGGTGTCGGAGTTAGAAGGCCCGGCAGCTTGGTCTCGTGGCTCAGGCCTGTGATCCCCGCCTTCTGAGGAGGCTGAGACATTAAGACCGGGAACCCGGGCCGTTTAATGAGCGTTTCTCCCAATATTTTTTTTAAAGTAAAAAATAATAATAGTAACATTACTGTTTTTATAAACCGGGAGGACGCGTTTGAAATCAAGCACTGGTAAGCCCCCCTGAAAAGTGCTGTGGCTTCTGGTATCCGTTAACGATCGGTTTATAAGCGTTTTGTGGTGTCAGGGTTGCTTGAGAGAAAAATATAGAAAGGTGGAGACGAACTGGTTATCGGGGAGCCCCATTTTGCTTTAGCTGACTCCATTTTGTGAGCTTCATTTCGCCAAGTGCTCTCTAGCCGGGCTGAAGTCATTGTTCCTAATCAACTAAGCTCTGGAAACCTAGGTTGTAGAAACTTTGAAACTTCTGCCCCTGTCGTAAGGCAATTGTGTTCTTCCGATTTTTATAAGCCCTAAATTGCCTCTCGCGGGTGTAGAATCTGGCTGATACACCCACTGGCCCAGAATATCATAGGTGGACCTGTCTGGCCTCAAACTCATAGAAATCCTCCTGTTTTTGCTTCCTGAGTGCTGCGGGGGAGGTGGGGGAGTGCTGGCCCTGCAACTTATTTTTGTGTGACTGTATGTGTGTACGTACTTGTGGCAGTGAGCATGATCAGAATAACTTGTGGGCATCTCTTGCTGCTGTGATCCAACTCAGGTTCAACAGAACCGCAGTTTTGACACTAAACTTTACCTGCTAGGCCCTTCCTATGCGGTACTAGTCACTACCAAGCATAGCCATTGTAAGGATTCAGTCATTATGGCTGGCCTGCCCGTCACCTGGCCGAATGCACTCAGGAAGTACCCTGGTCAGCCCAGGGTTCCATGGTTGCCTAGTTGCACGACGGTGCAAAGGACCCCTTTAAAAGAAAGACCCCGCCCACTGACGCTCTCTTTCCTGCTGTTCCCCTGGGGCCCGCAGGACTTTTCCTGTCTCCCTCTTCCCTTCCGGTCTCTCTTTGTCTGTGTCTCTTTATCACTCTCTCACTAAACTCTGTCTGCCTGACGTGTTTGTCCCATGCCTTGATCACCCTTGTCTGCCATGGAATCCACAAAGGTTCCTCATGTACTTTGTCCTAACAGCCATACCATTAAGAACATGATTTAAGAAAAATTTATTTTTTTAAAATTTATTTTAGTGTGTAAATTTTGCCTACATGTGTATCTATTCACCATGTGTGTGCCTGGTACCTGTGGAAGCTGGAAGAGGGTGTCTGATCCCTTACAGACAGTGGTGAGCTCCCAGGTGGGTGCAAGGATTTTAACTAGGGTCCTCTGGAAGGAGCAGCCAGTGATCTTAAACTACGGAGCCATGTCCCTGGCCCCTAAGGTCTTGCCTTTTTTGAAGTATTTCATTATGTGCAACTTTAGAATGTTCTTGTATCTGATGTTTTCTTGTTCTTAGGTAAGGTCAGTGTGTCCTTGTTACTGGCATTTGTCAAATTTCACCACTTGAAATTTCTGTGTATAACTTTGTAACCTGCTCTGTTGTCACAAAGACGTGCCTGCCTCCACCTCCTAACGATGGAACTAAAGTGTACCCTATGCTGGCGTGACTGTCCTTGTACTTGTTTATGTTTTGTTTGAGATGGAGATCTTACGGAGTTGGCTCAAGCCGGCCTTGAGTCCCTTGTCCTCCTGCTTCTCAAGTGCTGGGATAATAGACATTCACTGTCGTGCCTGGACTGCTTGCACTGTGTTTTGTTTTAAAATTTAATTTGCCATGTGTGTGTGCATGGTATGTTTTTGTGTGTGTGGAGTCAGTTCCCGCCACCTTTATGTGGATTCCAGGGATATGTGGAACTCAGGTTGCTGGTGATACAAGCACTTCTACCTGCTGGGCTACCTGCTCCTGCTCTGCTTAAGTGTACAGCTTTGTGGTTTGCTGATTTCTGATATTGTAAAACTCTTGTATTTTCTCTGTCCAGCATGACATCAACCACTTCAGAGCCCCAATTCCTTTTTATTGGAGAAAGGTATTTAGAACCCAGGTTTTGGATACTCTGGGTATGATGGTGTCCATCGTCATCCTGCGTGTCTGAGTGTGTGCAAATATGTATGTGTGGTTACGCATGTTCACATGTACATACAGAGTCCAAAAGAAGAGCAGTCCCTTACAGCTGATGTTAATAGGCAGTTTGCATGACACTTGGCTTGTTATATAGGTGTTGGGATCAGAACTTGAGTCCTCATAATTACATAGCAAATGCTCTTGACCCCTGAGGCAGTTCTCCAGTCCTACGTAATTTTACCGTTTAATATCTTTACATCAGTATCAATGTTATATATTGATGTAAAGAATTTTAAACATGTAACTAAAGTATTCCATACAGGCTCTACCTTCTACAGATTTTGCCTTCCAATAGCATTAAAGGGTAGGACCAAGCCTTCACTATATAGGCCTGTGGAGGACACCAATAATTCAAACTGAGGTTGGTCTAATCCCGGCATGTGGGAGGCAGAGGCAGGCAGATCTCTGGTCTACAGAGTGAGTTCCAGGACAGCTAGGGTTGTTATACAGAGAAACCCTGTCTCAAAAAACAAAAACAAAACAAACAAGAAAAATCCAAACTGTACACTTGGGTAGTTGAGGCAGGAGAACCATGAATTTGAGGTCATTTAAAGCATATAGCAAAATGCCGTCTCAAAATGCCATCTCAAAAAATAGCAATAGGAAGAAGGGGGGGAAGATCCAAACTATAGTGTGTGAGTTCTCAAACTTTTTTTTCTTCTTAGGATTTTTTTTTTTTTTTTTTTTTTTTTTTGCTGTTGTTGTTCCATATATGCTTACTTTTCCCTTAATCTACATATTTGTTCTCTACCAATACCACGTTGACTTGCTTCTAGAAGCTATTTGTAGTTATAAATCTTGAAATTAAGTAGACTGGGCTGAAGGGTATGACTTAGTGGGTAAAGGCACCTGAGCTTTGTCCTTGAAACCCAAAACCCATATGATAGAGAGAATGGACTCCTGTAAGTCGTCCTCCAACCTCTGCATACTTACGCACCCAGACACACAATTAAAAACGTAATGAATTCGGGTATACCTTTTTCTTCTACTTTAGTTTTCAAAGTAATTTTTAGCTAATCTAATCCCTTTGCCTTTCAATATAAATTGTCGTATCATCATGACGTATCTCTTCTCCTGTTACAGAAATTAAATCTAGGGACTTGTGTGTGCCAGGCAATTGTTCTACCACTGAGTCACAGTCCCGCCTTTTCTCCCTCCCATCTTCCTGGGATTTTGCTACAAATTGAACTGAATATCAGTGTGAGAATTGATAGCTCTTCTTGTCATGTCTCACAATACATGAATGTAGGTATGTTTACTTATTTACATGTTCTTTGACCTTTTTTTTTATTAGTCACTTGTGTTTTCTAGCCTTATGCGTATCGTAACTGTATTCAGGGATACTTTATTAGCTTTCCAATAGGCATCAGTCTGTGTAAGTACTCATATACATATGTCTTCTCACACACGTGAGAAGTAATGTCTCACAAACGATCCCCACCTATAGGACCAACAGTATCATGTGTGATGGACACCATTTTCTTATCTATTTTCTTCTGAACAGGAATGTTGGTTATTTCAGTGTCTTGCCAGTGGCTTCTGATGACCTAGCAAATAACATTGTGCATGCACTGCAGTGCTGAGAAGACACTCCCAAGAATATAGCAGTGATTCCCTAAAAGCAGCAGACAAGAGTGATGCCTCCAGGCAGGTGTTATGCAGCCCATGCTTCAAGGAAACAAGGACACCTTCGTGTGGTAAAGAAGGAAGAGGAGGATGATGGCTATACTTCAGTGCAGCATGCCAGGCCACAAACTCTTAACCGCCCTGGCCAGGAGCTGTTCCGTCAGCTCTTTAGGCAGCTCCGCTACCATGAGTCTTCTGGGCCCCTAGAAACTCTGAGGCGGCTCCAGGAGCTCTGCCGCTGGTGGATGAGGCCTGATGTTCTTTCCAAAGCTCAGATGTTGGAGCTGCTGGTACTGGAACAATTCCTGAGCATCCTGCCTGGAGAACTCCGGACATGGGTGCAGCTCCATTGCCCTGAGAGCGGTTCAGAGGTTGTGGCTCTACTGGAAGAGTTGCGGAGGGATCATCATGGAATACCACTCAGGGTAGGTGACACACACAAGTTCTGCCTGCCTTCCCATAGATGAGAAATGCTAGCCTGAGAAATGTAGGGAAATCTCTCCTTGTTAGTTCTCTGAACACCTGAGCACCTGGGTACGGGGCTCTGATCACGAACCATTTAGCAAGGAGCTCTTTCTGCTTTATACAGGAAGACCACCTCTAGAATAGGATCAGCAGGTATTACAAATCATAAAATCACCTTATGGAGCCTGACAGTGGTGGCACACACCTTTAATCCCAGCATTCGAGAAGCAGGCAGATTTCTGTGAGTTTGAAGCCAGCCTGATTTACAGAGTGAGTTCCAGGACAGCCAGGACTGTTGAGAAAAAAGACAAAAATCATCAAATTAACTTATGGATACGGTGGTTTACATTCCAGAAGGTCCAGCTCCACCTCTGTCTTAGTTAGGGATTCTGTTGCTGTGAAGAGACACCATGAACCATGTTAACACTTAGAGAGACAGACATTTAATTGGGGCTGGCTTACAGTTTGAGAGGTTTAGTCCTCTCATGGCCATGGCAGAGCACGATGTTGTGCAGGCAGACAGGGTGCTGCAGAGGGAGCCGAGAGGGCTACATCTGAACCCACAGGCAGTAGGAAGTGACAGTGACATGCTTCCTCCAACAGTGTCATTTCTATTCCAATAAGGCTACATCTCCTAATAGTTCCACCCCTGTGGGCCTATGGGGGTCATTATTCAACCACCACAGTCCATTCCCTGGCTCCCATAGACTTGTAGCCATATCATAATTCAGAATGCATTTAGTCCAGCTTCAAAAGTCCCTGTAATCTTTGACAATTTCATACTTGTTTACACGTTCAGAGTCTCTTCTGAGCCTCCTTCGGTCCCTGTAAAATCAAAATACAGGTCACATACTTTTTGAGGGACCAAACCCTTCCCTCCTTGGCTCTAGGAGTCTTAGTTCCTGGAGACTATATTGTATCAACAGGCCTAGGGCCAAAACTGAACACAGAGAAACTCCAGACCCATTTAGCCTCCTAGAATCTAGGGCCAAAACCTTGTGTTTGCATCGGTGAGTCTTTGTCTGTCCGGTGGTCTTTGGGGGATCTTTTTGACTTGGGTATACCACTTTTAACATATAATGGCACCAGCATATGCATTGTAATTCTAAAATGGCGCACAGTGAGGAAATACTTGACCAAACAATGGGCAAACTCCATACTGCCTCTCCATGTCTGAGGTCAAACTCTTCGGCCTACAGCTCCTTTCAGCTCTGTTGACTGCAGCACACTTCTCTCTCGTGCTGGTCCCACTCCCAGCTAGCTGCTCTCCTCGGCATGTTTCCCCTGACTCTGGCATCTCCAACATCTTGAGGTTCCCAAGGCAACCCAGGCTGCACCCTCTCACCCTCACAGCTTCATATAATGGCCTGTTTAGGCCTCCATTCAGAGATACCCTTGACGCATGCCGGGCCTCAGTAGTTTTCCTTAGTTGTGTATGGACATTCCTTAACCCCTTCTGTCCTTGACTCTAAACCCAGAACCGTGTGACTGAAGTTGCCAAGTTCTGCTGCTTACTGGGGCTGGGACATGGCCCCCTCTTTACCAGCTTTCTGTTCTCAATGGAACCTTCACTGCCTAAGCCTGGCTGTCCTGAAACTTGATCTGTAGGCCAGGTTGGCCTCAAACACAAGAGACCTGCCTGCCTCAGTTTCCAGAGTGCTGGGATTAAAGACATGCACCGATACACCTGGCTCTAAGGTTTTCTTTAATTCCTTTTCACAAGCTGGAGGCTTTGCTGGGTGGGTTCTTGCCCAGAGGTCACCTCTCCCTTTTTATTAATCTGTTCAGCTCCTTGAACACAGGATTTTGCTCTACTTCCTGGTGCCCCTTTTCTCCTTGAACTGAGCATTTTGTGTTTTTCCTTGCTCAGCCTGACAGGCTGCTCCTTTTCATTAAAGATCTGCATAAGAGTGAGCATGAATAACCACGGGACAAAGCCAATACTAGGCTGTTTTGAGATTTCTCCGTGGACTGAATTAATCCAAAACTCTTTAGCCTCAGGCAAACTTTTTGGACAAGGGCAAAAAACAGTCACATTCTTTGCCAAAGCATCTTAAGAACAATATCTAGGCAACATGCTAAAATTCTCAGAAACTTCTTTACATAGGTCCTCCCACTGTTCAAATCACCATCAACACCACTGTCTTCCATTCTTCTACTAGTATGGCCCATTAAACACCACTTAAGCATCCATCTGCTTTTCTAATTCAAAGGCTCAAAATCCACATTCCTCCAAACAAAAGCATGGCTCCCCGCCTTTCACAGCAATACACTCAGTCTCTGATACCAACTCTGTCTTAGAAAGGTTTCTGTTGTTATGAAGACATGCCATGACCATGTCAACTCCTAAAAGAAAAACATTTAATGGGGGCTGACTTACATTTTTGTGGGTTTAGTCCATTATCATGGTCATGGTGGGTGGCCTGTGGGCAGACATGCTAGTTCAATTTGGTTTAAGACTAACCATGCGCGTGTGAGTGCTGGGGCAGAAGGGGGGACCGAAAGGAGTCAGCAGTCCTGAAATCGGAAGGAGAGAACACACCAGAGCAGTCTGCATGTAGTAATGTGTTTCCTTTCCAGAAGGGCTGGGGGCATCCCTGGGCTGGGAAATTGGAAGACCTCAATTTTAAGCTTTTTTTGTACAGCTTAATATTCTTAGACATATTGTTGTGGACCCCCCCCCCTCCCCGCTCCCAGGGAAGATCACAGTTTGTGATTGATTGAAAGTCTTCGTTTGAACTGGCTGGTGAGCACACCTGGGTATTTGGTATTCAAGTGTAATTCCAAGCCTGTTTTCAGGGCTTATATTTGAGCATGAAAATCATACCCTGGCTGCAAGATCCTTGGGTTTTCTTTTTGCTAAGCAAATCATTATAAGAGCCAAAATAGGAAAAATAAAAGGAAGACAGGACCATGTCGACCCCAAGCCCTGCAGCTCGGCAGCTTCCTCGGAGCTCCCGGCTGCTACTGCTCAGGTGCAGCAGGCACAGCCTGAGAAACCGCAGTGCTACATCTATGTCAGACACTAAAGGCTTCCCCTCAGTCCATATGCATTTGCCTTGACTGGTGGTTTCTGCCATCCTACAAAGACTGACTCACTGGTGAGGGCAGCTGGACAACAGTGTATCTTGGGCATACCCTGTAAGGACTTCTCTGGAGATAGCGCCCCATGTAAGTGCAGAAAACAGACACCCTCCTGGACCTACTGCTTCCCGCTTCCAGCATCCAATGCCTGAAGCATATAGAATTTGACAACAGTATCGAGAGCTGAGGAGAAAGAGAGGATGGAAAGGAATCTACCAAGTAAAAAATGTCCTAGCATTCTGAGTGTGGTGACCTTTTGCTTGTTGGCGGCTAGATCTGTTTAGGAGCTAAAGAAGAAAATGAGGCCTATCACAGTTACATCATGTCATACTTGAGTTTGTAAAAACTTTGCCTCCCTGTCTACTTTCTATGGCACAGTTTGCTTCCCATGCTCAGGGTTGACTCATTGTTTCCCGTCAATATTTGAAACACTGCATGGCCACTATCAGTCCTGAAAGACTGGCTTCTTGTGAGGAATGGGAGGTTCAGGGCTTATCTTCATGGAAATCTGGCCTATTTACAAAACAGTTCTCAGAAGAGAACTAAATGCGTTCCAGAAAAAAAGTTGATTAAATCCCTTTATATGCTGTGTTGTTAATTAAAATTTTAACTAGTTAAAAAAAAAAAAAACCAAAAAAACAAGAGCAAAATATATGACTAGCAAAAATGGCAGAGTCACAGTGATTTTTGCAAAGAGCATGTCTAGTCTATTGCTGTTGAAGAGATACCATGACCAAGGCAGTTCTTATAAAATCAAGTGTTTCATTGGGGGCTGGCTTACAGTTTCAGAGGTTTAGCACATCATCATGGTGGGTTGCATGGCAGCCTGCAGGCAAGTGCTGGAGAGCTGCGTCCTGATCCGTAGGTAGAAAGACTGGGCCTGGTGTGCATGGGCTTCTGAAACCTGGAATCCCACTCCCAATGCCATACTTATCCTTTTAACCCTTTCAGATAGTGCCTCTCCATGGTGACTAAGCTTTTAACCCTTTCAGATAGTGCCTCTCCATGGTGACTAAGCTTTTAAGTATATGAACTTACGTCCTTGAGTTGGTTTTCTTCCTGGGATTGTTTTTGTTGTTGCTCTGTTTTGTTTTTTGTTTTTTGATGCTGGCACTTAGTAAGACAAGTTTCCTCTGAGAGACCAAAATGGAATCACTAACTACAGTCAGTCTTTCAGGACCTTAGTTTATTGAGAAGGAAATGCAAAAATTATCCGATCATGAGGATTTGATCAGTATCTGTCTGAAGCCTTTATAATGTTCTCGGTCCCTATTCCTAGTACAGAGACGTGAGACCCCAGGCCTGGCAGCAAATACTATCAGCTCGGTTGATGCCTGTACTCTTTTTACTCCTTTGCACACAGGAAACTGGTCTTTGCCTTTTGAGCTTTTTGTTTGTTTGTTTTTGAGACGGGGTCTCCACATATCCTTGGCTGTCCTGGAACAATGACTAGGCTGTCATTGAACTCACTGAGTTCTCCCTGTCTCTGCTTCCTGGGTGCTGGGATAAAAGGTGTATGCCACCACATCTGGCACCTTTTGAGTGTTTTTTTAAAAAAAGTATTTATCATTTTTTAGGCTTCCAAATTTTATTAAAAGAAAAACATGAGCCTATATGCATAATTCATGCATTAAAATTACTAATATTTCTGGCTTATCTCTCAAATCTATTACAAAAATAAAATTAAGTAACATTTGATTGTAGTCCACCGGTATTAAATGGTGTAGTAAACCAGCATATGTAATGCTTATTAAAACAGAAAACATTTCTGTCTTTTTAAAAATCTGAAAGTTCATTTGTCATTTTTACCAAAAACAATGGGGACTTCAGAGGGGACTGATAGTAATTTATAAAGTCTTGTAAGAAGAGCATGGCTTGGTTATGATTAGCTCGTGTAGGGCCAGATGTAAGGTTTTGGTCTTTGTCCTATGCTCAGTGGCCTCAGTCTAAAGCTTGTTCACATCGACGTAGAAAAAGTGTCAGCCAATGTGCCAGGAAGACTGCTCTCTAAGTTCATTAACTGGAGCCTTCTGTGCTCACTTGTACATTAAGGGAACCCTTGTCTCAGGGACAGAGCTGCTTGAAGTACAAGGGCAAAGCTCTCCTTCCTGTTCTCCTCGTGGACAAGCATAGGAGAGCTTTTCTTTGTTGTTTGTTTCCTGGCTGACCCTTAAAACCAATATTGTCTTTGTAATGGTGATAACTGTTTTGTCAGGTTTACAGTTTGAAAGTTAGCCTTCTCTGAGACCATTTGTACATTTCAGTATACTTGTCTGGATCTTCACTGTAAACCATTGTTCATTTTGCTCCTTTTCATTTCTCATCTTTAGGCCAGGGGTCAAGTAGGAAATAATGGGAAGGTTTCATTGTGGCATGTGAGGACTTATATTACTAACTTGGCAAGTGCATCCTTACCTTAAGTGGTAATCTTACAGACTCTCCCTGGTTGGGGGAGGCCATGGAGTGAAAGGTTTCTCTAGTCTTTCTTTTTGGGTCCTTTCTGCCAGGAATTGATTAAAGGGCCTGAGTTTGCTTTCTGAAACCTATTGGCATGTTCTGATGCTGTTTTCTTCTTGGCAGGACACATGCCTTGCTCAGAGCCCTGATGTGCATTGGATAGGCACTGGAACTCTGCAGTCTTCACAGATATGGTCCCCTACTTCCCATCGAAAGAACAGTTCTGCTCTAGAGGACCATTTGGAACCTCCGTGTAAAATAGGAGTTTGTAACTTCCTGCCTGGGCAAGATGGTACTCACTGCCTAGACTGTAGCTTCGTGTTATATCTCCTGTGTTTCCTGCACTGTTGTTTTGTTACCATCTATTATATCACAAGAATCTTCTGTCACCTAGCACTGTGCTCTCTTGAACGCCTTTCTGATTCATGTCTGATTGGTTTCTTCCATTGCCCCATTACCCTGCCTTTCCCCTCCCCAGCAGACACTGAGGTCATGTCTGCATCTTGAATAGCAGTGTGCCTACTATAGGCCCAGGAGTCCTTTGGGAGTGAGGAGTGGGCTTCTTAGGTGTCTAGAGCTGCACAACCCTCTTCATATTTCTTTTCTCCTTCAGATTCTCCTACTGACTCAGTGCCTGCCCGTTTCCAGACAGAAGACGGCACAGGATGCCAGGTAATGACCAGCAAGCCTCTGGTAACCCAGTTCTAGGTGGTTTCTGCTTTTGCTATTTCTTGGCGTCTCAAGCATGGCTGCTGTATGAATTGTAGCTTTCTTCATCTTGGGTTGTCATTTGACTTCATATTCAGACACCAGAGGTTTCTGCTGGGTGATAGATGATGGTCTTTCTCCTTTGCCAGATTTATCCAGTATTAATTAACTCTGTCAGGCCCATGATCAGCTCTAAAGCATGGTTCCCCCCCCCCCCCCTTCCAGGAAGCTATGACCTTCCAGGATGTGGAGGTGACATTCTCTCGGGAAGAGTGGGCATGTTTGGATTCGGCTCAGCGCAATCTTTATCGGGATGTTATGCTGGAGAATTATGGGAACGTGGTTTCTGTTGGTAAGTCTTTGGTATCCCTAGCAACCTCCACATTTGTTTTTTTCTCCTCTCTTTTTATTATTAAAAAAATATTCATTTGTGTGCATGGATATGTATGCTTATACATGCTTGAACGCCACAGTTCATATGGCCAGAAGATTGCTAGTGAGGGTGATTTCTGTCCTTTCCACCATGTGGATCCTATGAATTAGACTCAGGCTAAGCTTGGCAGCAGGCGCCTTAACTCACTGAGCCGTCTGCACTGGACCTTGTTTCTTATTGTAACGTGTAGAAAGGGATCTAGCCTTAGATTTTGGCTCTGCAACCGCCAGCCTTATTATTTAAGCTATTACTAAACTGTCCCTCTTGAATAGTGGAGATTGCAATGTCTGTCATGTGGGGTTATTGAGAAGACTGTTGCAAATTCCGGGTTGATTTAAGCATTTGAAGATGGTTAACTGACTTAGCTAGTTGAGTAGCTGTACGCCTTTCACCTTTGAAGAATACTTATTATTGTTGTTTGGTTTATTTTTATTTTATGTGTATAAGTGTTTTGTTTATATACCGCCTGCATGTTGTGCTCATAAAAGGCAGAGGACTGTATCAGTTCCCTTGGAAATGGAGTTAGATGGTCATCAGCATCCATGTGGATGCTGGGAATTGAACCAGATTGGAAGAGCAGCCAGTGCCCTTTTAAGTGCTGAGTGTCTCTCCAGTCAGCCCTACCTCTGGAGACTCCTCAAAGCCCCTTTGCCTGTGACCTTTTTTAGCCTCTCATCTCCGCTTAGGGCAGCAGTTCTCAACCTGTGTGTGGTGACAACCTTTGGTAAACCTCTCTCTTCAAAAAGATTTTCATCATGATTCATAATGGTAGCAAAATTATAGTTATGAAGTAGCAATGAAAATAATTTTATGGCTAAAGGTCTGCACAGCATGAGGAACTGTATTAAAGGGTCAGAGCATTAGGAAGGTTGAGAACCACAGGCTTAGAGCTATCAGAAATGACTGCTCCAGCTTCTTCCATTTGTTTTCCTGGCCTTCCTTCCTCTCTGCCAGGACTTTAGGTTCTCAAGAATAGTTGTGTGTGATCTGCCTTCCTTCCCATCCCATCCCTTCTTTTCTGCAGTGGAGTCATCTCCCAAACCTGCTCTGATATCCTGGTTGGAAGCAAGGAAGCCATGGGTCATGAATATCTGCAAAGTTCAGTTTGAGAGGGATTCAGGTACTGCCTCTAAAGGTGAGTTCGATAAAATCCATCATGTCCTGCCCCTCCTAACTTTACTCTTTTCTTTTATACGGTGAAATACATCACTGGGGACATACTCCGTTATTTGCTGGGAGTTACTAAGGGGTGTTAGGGCCCTGGTAGGCCATTTCCTTCCAGCCCTGTCTCTTCTTCCTGGCATCTCAGTATTAGTTCTTGCTCATAGCAGGGCTTCCCGGTTCTCTTTTGCACTTAGCTGTGATGTTCTGCACTGACTCCTGCGTCACTTGTGCTCACCCACCCTGCTCTCAGGAGCATCACTCCCACTCTGGCCCTTCTTCACTGTCCGAGTCTTTTCTGTGATGAGCATGATAATCCAGTTGGACCCTCCTTGGAGCCCACATCTCGGCTTCGGGAGCTTTGAGCAGTGCCATGGTTCTTTACTGGCTTGCTGTTAATATTCTGCCTTAGCTCTTTTTATTGCCTCCTGGATTTGATTTCTGCGTCTGTCTACCCACTGTATCTGGCCCTTCCTCTTCCCTTTCCTGTTATTTGAGATACTTTTCATGGTTTTGTCTTAATCTTGACTCTTGTAAAAAGGTAATGACAGGCAAAATTCTTGCTACCAAGAACCTTATTTTATAGTTCCTGGTTTTCTTCATTAGTTGCAAGTATGGGAAAAATACATTTTCTTGTTTTTTATTTTTTTCCTCCAGGAGGTAAGCCCCAGATTAAGTCACACAAATTCATCTTGAAACAGGACCCTTCAGAATACACAGAAACTTTTACTGTGCCATTAGTATGTCCTGAGACAAGTGTTTCTGAGGGAACAGAGCTCAAAGAATCTTCTGAACAGAAGAATAAGCTACAGAAGCCCTGTGGAAGCCCCATACAAGTGAAAGAGATGAAGGAAGGAACTGACGTCAGTAACAAGACAGGAAGAGACTCTGAAGTATCGGGAAGCAGCGATACTCTTGATGTAAAGCATGTTAAGTGTGAGAGTGTTACTAAGAAAAAGCAATCCTTTAAACATGGCCGTGACAGACGCTTCAGAAAAAGATCACACCATTATAATAAGAAACATGTGCTTGGAGATACAGTTGAGAGATTTGGTGTGTACCAGAGCATTTATATTAGACTAAGAAAGAGTGGAGCACGCACAGGTGAAAAGAACTTCATCCTTAGTTCTTGTCGCCAGCAGGAACAGAGTGCTCGTACTGTGATGATGTACAGGTGCCATGATTGTGGGAAGACCTTTAAGAAAAGCTCTCATCTTGAGTATCATCAGAGAACCCATTTTGAACAGAAACTGTTTAAATGCAGGGTGTGTGAAAAAGCCTTCAAGTGGCGTTCAAACTGTGTGCGGCATGAGAAAATTCACACTGGAGTGAAACCGTATAAATGTAGTTCATGTGAGAAATCTTTCCAACGACTTTCAGCCTACCGCCTGCACCAGGAAACCCATACGAGAAAGAAATTAAAATCCAGTCAGCACAAAGAAGCTCTCACGGACAGCTTGGACCTGCACCAGGAAACCCAGACGAGAAAGAAATTAGAATCCAGTCAGCACAAAGAAGCTCCCGAGGGCAGCTTGGATCTCAATCATTTGACAGATAAGGGTCAGGAGAATCACTTGAACTGCAGGTATTGTGGGAAATCCTTCAGCTGTAAGTACTACGTTCTTGAACACCAAAGGATTCACACACAGGAGAAACCTTATAAATGCACCAAATGTAGGAAAACCTTTCGGTGGCAGTCAAACTTTTCTCGTCATAAGAGACTGCACCTTCAACAAGAGTTCTGTAAACAAGAGAAACGTCGAGAAGACTTCAAGCAGATTTGTAATCGGTCTCAGCATTGTGAGGAAACTTTTACTCAGAAGAAATCACTTACTGAGCACAAGAGGAGTCACACAAGGGAAAAACTGTACCAGTGTAGTGAGTGTGGGAAAACGTCCATCTATAAGTCGGCTCATATCATGCATATGAAGCTTCATGTTGTTAAAAGAAAACATGAAAATGATCTACCTGCTAACCAAGACACAGCGTCTCACATTCCTCCGAGTAGTCACAGCGCAGAAAAGTCTCACAAATGTAAGTACTGTGGCAAAATATTCCGGATTCGCTCATTCCTTGTCATTCACGAGAGAGTTCACACTAGAGAGAAGCCCTATAAGTGCAGGGAGTGCGGCACAGCCTTCCGGTGGAGCTCCAACCTCTCCCGGCACGAGAGGCAACACTCTTTACACCAGCAGTATGAGTGTCCTGAAAGTAAAGAGGCTTCCAGTCTGGAGTCAAAGGTCTTCACTGATCAGAAGCCCTTTTGGTGTCAAGAATGTGGGAAAACCTTTACACGTAAAAGAAGCCTTTTAGATCATAAGGGAATACACAGTGGAGAGAAACGATTTAAGTGCAACCTGTGTGAAAAATCTTTTGATAGAAACTATCGTCTTGTTAATCATCAGAGGAGCCATAACACTGAGAGACCGTTTCAGTCTCAGTGGCGCGGTAAAGATCTCTTTGGGATACATGTCCGTTCTGTTGACCAGAGAAAACACAGCAGAATGCTGCAGTTGGAACAGAGTGTGCATTCAGATAATCCTGGTTTATCTTCCTTTCGGAGTGCAAGATTAAATATTCAGGAGCTGAGTGGGAAGAAGCCCCATAAAGAGAGTCAGAACCCTTCCGACAAGAGCTCCAGGTTCATTGCTCTCCAGAATATACCCACTAAGAGAGGCTGCCACAAATGTAATGTTTGTGGGAAAATGTTTGGCAAGCATTCAAGACTCATTAGCCACAGGAGATTTCACACCAGAGAGAGGCCCTTTAAATGCAAAGTGTGTGCAAAGACCTTCAGGTGGTCTTCCAATTTGACTCGACACTTGAAAAACCATGTTAATTAGCCTGGGGTCTCTGATGATGGTGGTGGTGGTGGTCGTGGTGGTGGGGTGCATAGTTCCTGGCTCCATTTCTAGAGAACTTGTAGGCACTGGAGAAAACCTCTGCAAAGGTCTAGCCCCTTCTGTTTTGGGAGTTTGGTGTGGAACCTTTAAAAAGCTCAGGGACTCCTCAGTCTACCAGTTGAAAAGTGATGCTGGGGAACACTGTCTTCTGGGGGCCTTGTAGATGTCGTGGCCCTGAGGTGTAGCCCAAGACTGACAGGCAGGTGTCCCTGTGTAGCTCTTTGCTGTGACTGGGAAGTGTGTCTCTGTGGCTTAGTAAGGTGTGTCTGCTCTGTCCTGACTCTGCACGCACCAGACATGCAAATGGTTCACAGACACACATGCAGGCAAACTACCCATAAGTAAGAAATGGACTCAAAAAATAGTATGAGCATTAAAACTTTTAAAATATTTTAAAATTGCCTCTCTGAAGATATCTAGTTCTGCCAGGTCAGGGGTGGAACTTTAAGTGCGCCTTGATCAGACAAGTTGGGGATACTCTTAAAACAGGCCTTGAGTCAAGCATTGGATGAAAGTCGTACTCAGAAGTACATGACTGTTGGGTAGGAGCACAGCTGTGGATGGTTTTGAGCAGTAGAGAACTGGATGTCTACTCTTGAACTTGGTATGGGCAGCACAGTCTTCTGTGGACATGGTCTTTCCACTGCTCGAGGAACTGAAGTTGTGGCTGGGGAGAGACAGATGGGCTGAGACCATCACAGAGAAGTGGATGTCGGATGATGCCTTGTTCACCTGGCCAATGTGGTCAGTTCCATCATAACTGAAGACTGTCAGACCAGTGGGCAGAGAAGGGACCACATGAGCTGTCTTAGCAATCGCTTACAGAAGTTAGTTTATGAAAGCTCAAGTGTGAAGCGGGAGGAAGAGCTGGGATTCAGACTCCTTTGTAAGTGGAGACTGCCGGCCAACTTGGAAAGTGTTTTGAAATTGTGAGTTTATCCATCGAGTCCCTCCTGGGGTTAATGTGAAGAATGGTGAGTTTAAGCTAGCTCACTACAGCAGGGTTGAGATGGTGGGGCTGGCAGAACCCTGTTTTCCATCAGCACGACAGTGCAAAAGATAATTGTATTTCAGAAAGAATATGCAACTCGGTGTGTGGGTACACACCTGCAACCTTAATGTGGGGTGCTGAGGCAAGAGAGCCAAAAGTTCTTAAAACGAGGATAAACAATGACCGTAGGAGAGGTATACCCTCCAGTTCAGAACACGGCACAGAATTGCACGATATACGGTGTATAGACATTTAAGCATGTTGAAAGTGGGCGATCACTCTGGTTTGGGCTTCATTATTTAAGTGAGATGGTGTAGTAGCCTCGTGGGGTGGTGGGGGGCAGTACTGAAATGCACGTGTAGCAGTGAGACTGGTGTCCATTGTGTAAACATTCCTGCTGTATAATAAATAGTTAGTATTTGGCACAATTTTCTGTGGATTTAAAAGACATGAAATAAATGTAAGATTATGAAATGGGATGGTGTGTACTAACCACTGCTCCATTGTCTTTGGGAATCAGAATGAATTCATGAGGCTTCACTTGTTTTTCTAAAAACTGATACGAATACAACCTAAAGTTATAGTTTAAAAGGATACTATGTTGGATTCTTTCAATTGTTAAAGTATATCAAAATAAAAAACAACCATGGCCTCTGATTTCTATATAATGATTATTACAGAAGCTCCAGCTGTGCCACTCACCACTTGTAAGTGCTGCTACTTAAATGGTCTACTTCATATCTTCCCCCTCCTTTTTTACAAGACAGGGTCTCTGGCTGTCCTGGAACTCACTATGTAGGCCAGGCTGGCTTCAAACTCACAGATATCCACTGCCTCTGCTCCTGGAGTGCTGGGATTAAAGGTGTGCACCACCACACCTGGCCCACCTCATCTCTTAAATTTTTAACATTTCTATCTGCTAAAATTGGAACAACACAAAATGGCTGCTGGTGACAGAATGTCATGTGGCAGTCTGAAGAAATCCAGGGTGGTCTGTGTCTCGGCTCCGTCTCTAAATTATGAGATTGTGAGCTGTTCTCAGTTCCTCTTAGCGAAACCAAACTAGGAAAGATACACAGACAGTTCCATTGACGACATGGGAATTAGGACAGTGATGCTTGTTAGCCATCCAACATTCCTGGCAGGTGGGGAAAATGAGTACTTACGCGCCGGGTATCACATCTTTTAAGTTAATACCAACACTGCTAAAAATGGCAAAATTGTATCAGCCAGGGTCTGTTGAAAAGCTAAAACCTATACCAACCCCAGCCATCTGTACCCAGATGAGGAGAGTGGTGTGACGTCTGTCTAATAAGACCTTTACCTTACATCTGGGCAGGCTGAGAAGGAAGCCCAAGATCTTACTCCATAGCTCCTGTGGGAGGAGGCAATTCCAACCACCATAGTTGTTGCCTAAGCCAAACTTGACTGTTGGTGTCTGCCCAGCTTTTTCCAGAATGTCTGTCTCAGTTGTGAATTGTCAACACTTGTTGGTTTTTATCTTTTAAATCTGGGGGCCTGGAACCTAGGTGGTAAATAAGTACATGGAGATGTATTCTTATGAATGCCCGGCCTTAGCTTGGCTTATATCTAGGCAGCTTTTATTAAATGATCCCATCTAACTTTTACCTTTCTTTCCTTCTTAGTTTGTGGCTGGTTGTGTGGCTAGGTGACTGGCCCTGGCTGTCTTGCTCCTATTTCCTCTGCCTGCCGGCCCCATCTATTCTGCCTAGCTATTGGCCCTTAAATTCCTTATTCGACCAGTCAGGTGTCTGAAGTCACATGGTTTTATTGAGTTAAACAACATAACATAAAAGAATGCAACACATCTTTTTGTCATTAAACAAATATCCCACGGCATAAACAAATAGAACACACCTTATTAAGCACTTACCTTAGTAGCATTCAATGCCTCTGGTCTCCCGTTGGTCAACTGGTCTGGGTATGTGGTTCCATCCTGAGGGGCAAACCACAAAGCAGGAGCAAAGAGAGGCACTTCTACTCAAAGTTTAGAGTTAGTTTGGCAGAGAGGCCCTCAGATGTGTGATTGTAGGGCCTTCAGACCTATGACTTTGTGGAGGGTTGCCAGTGTGAATCAGGTTATATTGGGGCAGAATATAACAATTCACCGTAAGATTGGACTGCAAATGTTGGTCTCCTGCCTGAAGAACGTGTATCCCCAGTATACACCACCACCACAGAGCTAAGTACTGATGCAAACACGGGTTTACTAAGGATGGACTCGAACCATCCAGTAGCAGCACTCAGAGAGAGAGAGAGGAGCAGCCCAAAGATACCGCGGTTAAATAAGGATCAGGATAAACAAATAGGCCGAATAGATGTTTATTCAGGGAGAAATAACTTACAACCTAGACAGATGAACACAAGGGAATTCCACCCGATGCTCTCCTGTCCGAGTCCTGCCAGCAAGAGAGCTTTCCCCGGTTCTCTCTCCGACCTCCTTCCACAGGTCACTTCTGTCCATGGCTCCACCCCCCAATGGGCGTGGTCAGTTCCACAGAAGGACTATCTCACTACAATAACCAGCAGGGAAGTAGGGCTTACAAAGGGAAAATCCGAAGGCCAGGGGGAGTACAAGCTTTGCTGTCTCTCTGATTGGGTTCAGAGGGGATGCTTCCTGGGCCCATTGGCCCTGGGGTTAAGTAAGCATTGGAAATTTCCATTAGAGCATCTGGATACCATGATATGATTGATGTCTGTTTCCTCGTTGCCAGGCTGATTGGGCAGGATATGGGGGCCCTGGAGCAACTTTTAGGTATGTGTGGTTTTTCCCAGGACCTGGATTCAGGGTCTGGTCAGCAGCTTCTCACCATGGTGTCCAGCCTAAAATGGCTTTAGTCTTGCCCTGCAGGCGTCTGGCCCCTCACTCCCAAGAGACCGAAAAGAGACTCCCAAGAGACCGCCATTACAAGTGCTTTGAAAAATTTTAACAGCCAGGCTTGTGCCGTGGTGGCCCAGGCCGAAAAGTGTGACCGAAGAGATAGAACATGCTTCCACAACTGCATCATTGGCCACAGTCTTTGCCAGCAGAAATCCAGAGGATATTTAGGAATGGACTTCAAGGATGTGGAAACAGGGTTAAAGGTTGGAGGGATTCAACTTTTGTGCACTGGGCAGGATTCGGGCACTGTTTAAAATTTATTCAGTGCTGTTTTCAATGTTAGTTTGTGATAAGCCTTTAAATCTTTAAGTGAAATTAGGAAAAATTAACAAAAGTCTAAAAACTTAGACCACAAAGCCCATACTGGAAGAAAGGGAATTTCTGAGCTCCAAAAGACAGCACAAAAGATAAGGCTAAACAAAGGACGGAGTACATGCCTAGAAGCCTAAGACCAGATAGCACACTACAAGCTGTGTCAATATTCCTTTGTCCTAAAGGAAACCAGGCAGCCACCGGTTAGAAGTTGTAAAAATCCCTGGCCCAGCATTAACCTAATGCTGCCTACAATATCCTTTTCAATTGTAAGCACACAGTTATTGTTTTATCCTATGTAATCACGGAAGCTTCGTGATCTTGAGGCTTTCAGCCTTATGGTCTTTCCTTTAAAAATCCCTCTTGGGTGAAAGCCGCATTCCACCTGCTCCCAAGTGGATTGGATCCAGGCTTCAGTGTGGTAATAAAGAAACCTTTGTCTTTTATTTGGTGAGTCGCCTCTGTGGTGGTGGTCTTTTTGGGGTCCCAAGGACTGGGCATGAGTACCCTAGATTTTCCCTCTCCCGTGTGAATGAATGAAATTGGCAGAAGCCCACAGTCTAAGCTTCTCAGTAACAGTGAAGAGACTTCCTCATTACCTGTCTGGCATCCTAGAGCTGGAAACTGTCATCAGCCAAACATCTGTCAATCAGCAGGACTGCACTGGCAGCCTGGCTGTTCTGGATGCTTAACAGCCACTCTGAGGACATTCCAGCTGCAAGGACCATAGTATCTGAAAAGCTGCAACTGTCGCAGGAGGCCTTGTCCCTGTCACAACCACTTTAGATAACCTGCATTGACCTTAGAAGGCAGCTTCTCAAGACTAGAGATTTAAAAGGCCTTCAAGCTATTCTCAAACGAGAGCAGGAACCTCCTCTGTACTTTGGCAAGTGCTGTGATGTGATTGGTACATGTACAATCCTTTGTTGGCATTCTACTCTCAAGTCTCCTCCCCCTGTGCAATCAAGAATCTTCAGCTGAGAGGTAGTTCTTCACATTGCTCCCTGGTGCTGACATCCAGCTGAAGGCCGTGGTGATGTAGTGTGGGAATATCTCTTACATTCTATACCTCATTGCCAAATTAATAAGCAGACTACAGCCAAGATTTCTACAACTTCTTAGGATCCCCATGACAGCGCCCCCTATCAGCAGAAAGTAGTTTGGAAAGAACGATGCCCAAAATTCCCAAATACTGTTTATAAATGTTTGTTTTCATTTAAATGGACTTGGTTATAAATGGTTAAGGATCACAACCAATATCTTTTTAAAGGTAAAATGGGGATTATGATATAGATATGAATACTTTGTTTTGGAATGGTTTTTCATTTATTGATACAATTTAAGGTCAATTTTGTCATATGTATATTTCTCCTCTTGTTTGTATAGCTCATTTAGAAATGTAATGTATAATGTAGTACAGATTATAGATAATTACCTATGATAGTCAAAGTTTAGAGCTTAGTTAGGGTTTTCAAGATACACAGAGATGTATTTAAGATAGATAGGAATTCTTCAAACCTTTCAAAGACCTACAGAATATGGCATTTAAAATGGTTTAGGGTTTTACTTGACAATGAGACATAAATGCTCCTGGCAACATCACCTGTGTCAGAAAGGAAGATGGACATTAAAGAAACTCGTTATGGAGTTTGCTTCCAATATGGCAAGATTAGCCATTTGGACAAGATACTACTCTTGTCTGGACTGTTTGACTTTGTGCTATATAAACTGGACATGCAGGACCCACAGAAAAGTGACTGCTGATACAAGATGGACATTGCTATAGAGTTTCTGCTTCATGGAAGAGTCTGCGAGACAGTATGCAGGACACAGAGAAAAGTGACTGACAAACTGCCAATACAAGAAGACAGTTTAAAGTTTCCTGCTTTGCAGAAGAGTCTGCCAGACACACTATGGCCTATGGGCTGAAGATAAAAGATTACAGAAGAACTTCAGGTGACTGACAAGGCAAGATGTCTCTGTCATTTCTAGAGTTTATATACTATCCTTCTGTGGTCTTTGAAGGAGTTGAAGACAGATAGTTATGGTTATAGTTTTCCTTAGTTAGGATTCAATGATAAGGTACATATAGGACTTAGACTCACAAGATAAAATAGATGATGAAATATTTTCTTCAAATCTTGCTAAATGTTAATGGACTAAATATTGTTAACTGTGATTCTTATTTGATAACTGTTATGTGATATATTTTGCTATATTAAGGTTAAAACCCTTCTTTTTATTTAGACAGAAAAGAGGAGAT